ACTGCAGCAACAGGCTTGAATGCGTCAGAGATTGTGAGGACGGCACAGGACAGCACAGGGTTCAGATCTGTTGTTCACAGAGTCTGTGAGATGTACTTGACTGGACAGTACCTACCACCACCACAGTCATATCATACCAGGAGAAGTCCAAGCCATTACCAGGAAGTTTAAATGAACCTTGAACTTATTCTCTCGGGCACCCTGACCCACAGCTTGCGCATGCAGCTTCCTGGTTCCTGTACTCCATTCCCGTATACACTTTGCAACATACACTACCTAGGAAATAGAATCATGTACCCTTTTGTCCACCACCAAATTTTTAAGTCCTATTTCCTGAAATCTGTGAATATATTACTTGGCATGACTAATGTATTTTGAGATATTGAGATGGAGACATTTTCCTGTATTATCTCCCTGGGCCAAATTATTACAGGAGTCCTCTTAAGAGGGGGGCATGAGAATCAACAGAAGTCCTGGCAGAGTGCAGAGGTTACCTGCCACATTGGTAACTGCTTTGAACCCATCAACCAAACCAGGATTTGGCTTTCTTAAAAATCACAATTTAGAAAAAGGTGTGTGTGTGTGTGTGTGTGTGTGGGCAATCTCTTTCCATTCAATTAACTGCCTCTGAAAATCTGCTGAAGGGTCAGCTATGCATCAGTTCTGACTTGACTGTACACACCACCACCATGAGATGCTAGGAGTTGGAAATAACTCATTGGCATACAACAGAAGCAAGAGAGTCTGCTATCAGAGAAGATAAGACAATGAGAGTAGAGATCAGACAGAGAGTTCTGAAGACATCAAGTTACCAATGTTCTAGCTATTGTATACAGGAGCAGAATGACATTTTTACAGCTTCATACTAGACCTATTCTAGGGTGCTTTGGTGGCATCGTCTATGACATGTTACACTGTGGTGGTTCAAATACACCAGCGGCTCAGAGGGAAAGAATGGGCAATTGCCTTGTGGTTATAATTGACAGCTTCCTCAGAAACCCAGTGCAGTGTTGCCATGGGTGGAGCCCACTTACTGGCAGTGAGTTTGAGTTTTGGAGACTTGTTTTAGGGAGCTCTGGGGGTGGATTGTGTTACAAGTTGCACAGCCAACCAAGATCTCAGCAGTTCGAATCTACTGGCTGCCCCTTGGGAGAAAGATGAAGAGTCTTTTTCCATAAAGATGTACAATATTGGTAAATGTCGCTGAGTTGTTTCTAGCTCACAGTGACTCCCACATACAGCAGAATGAACCGTGGCTTGGCCTTATACCACCCCACGATCCTCCCCTGCTTCAGCCCATTGGGGAAACCACTGCATCTATCCATCTCCTGGAGGGTCTTTTTTTTCTTTTCTTCCACTTTACCAGATATTCTGTCTTTTTCCAGAGCCTGGTCTCTCCAAATAACATGTCCAGAGCAGGTGAGATGAATTCTCACTATCCTAGATTTTACGGAGCATTGTGCGTTACTGGTCTCAAAATAGACTGAAAGCTAAATAAGCTGAGAATGTCAAGTGCATACATGTCCTATTTCTGCTTATGCATATGATGTTGTTAGGTGCTGTCAAGTTGAATAGAAGCCATAACAACCCCATGGAGAACAGATCTGGTCCCTATCCTACCCTGTGCCAGCCTCACTCTCTCAGACACACCTGAGCTCCATGCTGCAGTCACTCTGTCAACCCACCTGGTCTTTTGCTAACCCTCCACCTTTACAAGTATAATGTCTTTCTGCAAGGAATAGCCTCTCCTAGAGACATGCCCCAAATATGCGAGATGAAGCTTTGTCATCCTTGTCTCCAAGGAGCATTCTGCCTGCACTATTTCCAAGACATCTCTCTTTGTTCTTTTGGCAATCTGTGAATATCCAGCACTCTTCTCCAACACCACAGTTTAAAGGCATTAATTCTTCTGTCATCCTTACCCATTGTTCAACTATTATATGTAAAGTAAGTGATTAACAAGACCTTGATTTGAATCAGGTGCATCTGAGTCTTCAAATTGGCATCATTGCTCCTCGGTACTTTGATGATAGCAGTCAATGATAGAGGACTTCTCTATTGCAATAATTTCTTCTAATCTCCTGGTTGCTGGTACTAAGGGCATTGAATACTGTGGGTCAAAGTAAGATAAAATTTTGGCAATTTTAATCGTTCCTCTATCTTTCATTATATTGCCTCATGGACCATTGGGGAAAATTTTTTTTAGGGGAGAATTTTTTTAATTAATTGTATTGAAAGTTTACAGAGATTTAGGATTTCCATTCATTCAGTGTTGCACTTTTTCCCCTGCCCACCTCCTCACTCCCAATTTGCTCTTCCCTTTGAAAAGTAAAAGAAACATTCTTTCATTGTTATACAATCCCTCCCCCCACCCCCAAGTTCATCCACTGTGCAGCCTTCATTCTGGACTCCTGTCATGACAATAATACCTAATCATATATCACTGGGGAGGATTTTTGTCTTCTTGATGCTGAGATGTGGTCCATATTGAAATCGGTAGTCTTTGATCTTCTACCACAGGCATTTTAAGTACTTTTCACTTTCAGGAAGCTCGGTTGTGTCATCTGCATAACACAGGTTGTGGATGAGTCTTCTTCCTCACCTGATTCCATATTCTTCCTCACTGAGGCCAGTTTCTCATACGTTTTGCTCAGCGTACAGACTGAGTCCATATGGAGAAAGGGTACCACCCTGACATACATCTTTCCTGATTTTGAACCAAGCAGTAGTGCCTTGCTCTGTTCAGACGTCAGCTTCTTGATCTAGGTATAGGTTTCCTAAGAGTGCAATTAAGTGTTCTGGGATTCCCACTCTTTTCAGTGTTAGCCATAGTCAATAAGACATAAATAGGAATTCTTCTGGTATCCTCTACTATTAGCCAGGATCCACCTGACATCAGTAATAAAACCTACGGTGGCACTTATGCATATACTATATGAAAAAGGAAGCTCTGATGGAGCTCTGGTGGCTTAGAGATAAGGAATTACATAGCCAACCCAAAGGCAGGCAGTTCAAATCCACAAGCTGCTCCCAGGAGAAAGATAGAGAATCTCCTCCTATATAATTATCTGTCTCTTAAAAACCGCTGGAGGGTCAGCTATGAGTTGGTTTTGAGTCAATGGTACATAACTACAACAATATATGAAAAGATTGACTTGGGAGAGACTGGCGAGCATTATGCTGAGTGACCTAACTCAGTCTCATAAGGACAAATACTGTATAAGAGCATTATTGTAAAAACAACAACAACAAACAACTAGTAAAACATTTATGAGGACCCAAAGGAGAAAGGGTAGGAGCAGTAGGGTGAGGATGGGAGGGGCAAAACAACAGGGTTGCACAATTTGGTGGTTGGAAGGAGAGGGTCAAGGAAAAGAGAAAGATGTGGTGGGGACGTGAAAAGAGAGGGTAATGATGGCCAAGATTCAGTGGTGATTAATTTTATAAAACATAATGTATGGGTATGAGTGTATGAAACACAGTGTGAATGAACAATGGTGTGAAACACAATGTATTTGAACTTTGTAAGAAACTAATAGAAAAGAATAAAACCCAATAAATGGAAAAGGTATCTTTTTTTAAAAAAATGTTTTTTTCTTTTTGAAAAAAAATTATTTTTTATCTTGAAAAGAGTATATTTAAAAAATACCTGTTGAGGAAATTTTATATATATAATTATGCAAGAAAAACACAGAAAGCTCAATGAATGAATCTAGAAGAGCTGTCTGGTGATTATGGATCTCTGGTGGGGCTGTCAGTGGATAATAGGCCTGGTAATTGGGCTCCACCAGCCACTCAGAAGATTTACAGCCTCAGAAATGCCCAGAGTGTGGCTACGAGTTGGAATCGACTAAAGAGGCCGTGAGTTTTGTTCTTCTGTGGGAGCAGAGCTTAACCATGAAGGAATAAAAACCAAGATGACCCGTAGATAGCCCAGGGCACCTAATCGGTAAAACGAGGAATGCAGTGTTTAAAAATAAAATGAAAAGGAAATACAGATTCTTATTGTGTTTTAGAACTTAGAGGAGTTTGCAAAGATATTTTTTTAAAAAAATTTTATTATTTTTGTGTGCGTGTACCGTCAAATCAGATCTGACTGGTACAGGAGGAGATTGTCCCTCCTTCGCCGGCAGAGCATCTGGTGGATTCGAACCGTGTGCCTCTGGGATTGTAGTTGCAGCTCCTTACCACTAGGCCACCAGAGCTCCCCTGCAAAGATATTTTTAAAAAAATAAAGCAAAGCAACAACAAGAAGAAAACAGACATGGAAATAGGTGGAGGAGAGATACAATCAGGTAATTTAACTAAAAACAAAAAAACAAAAGACATGGCCATGTGTTTCTGTGTGTATTTTTTTAAATTGATTTGCTCACAAATTTTGTATACATTGTGTTTCAAACTATTCTTCATTCCATGATTCTTCATACAATCGTTCTCATACTTTGTTGTTATTATTGTTGTTGTTAAGTGCCATTGAGTCGTAGGTGACTCATAGTGACCCTACGAACGAAAGTCCTCAACACTTGTGTGACTTTCATCTTTGTCCAGGTTCATAGGGTTTCTGGAGGCAAACTATTGTGGAAGTGAATGCCACTCCTGCTTCCAAGCTTGTTTTAATTAGGGAGCTCCACCAAACACTGTCCACTATGGGTAACCATTCTCGCATTTGACACATCAGTGTCACAGTGTTCAGCTTCACAGCAACCACGAGTTACCTCTGTACAGCAAGTGGACAGACCAGGGCTCTATGACTTAGAAGAATGTTTGAACAAAAACAATGAAAAGCAGGCTTGAGGGGCGCGGATTAAGACTACATTATGTTTTATAGACTCAACCACTGTTGGATTTTGCCAATGATAATCCAGTCTTTTCAGGTCCTTGTGGAATCATTGCCATTTGGAAGCAAGGGAAGTGTGGGTTTTAAAATGCAAAGGAAGGCGGAAGAGGGAGGAAGATGGAGCAAAGGCTCGAGGAGAAATCCTCACAAGAGAACAGTTACGATGTGGACGCTTCTGGGAAAGAGGAAGTGAGTACAGGACTCAGGCCTATTGCAAAATCATAAAAATGCTTATGTCCAAGGTCACAGGAGAATCCTTGCAGTAAGAACGTGTTGTACTACTGGTTATCATGCGGTCAGTGAGGGGCTGGTGGTGAAGCCCAGTCACTGTGGTCGTCTGTGTTCAGTCAGAAAGTAGGACGTTTTATGTTTACGATGCAGTTTCCACATGATTACATGTTCCTTCAGAGGTGGGGTGGAGGGTCCAGTGAGGAAAGCTGACTGGGAGGAATCGGATATGGGAGTAATGCATCCCATGACCCTTTGCTGTGTTCCTGTACTGAAAGCTCAGATCCAGAAAACACAAACTGTACTGTCCTCCTGCACTTGACATCTGGAATCTTGTTTAACTTTCAAAACCCTATTGCCTTTGAAGCAGAGCTGACTCATCGCTGACTCGCTAGAGGGCTTTTAGAAACTGTAAATGGAAGAGGAGATTGCCTGTGTTTCTCCCTTGAAGCTGCTTGTGGATTTGAACCTGCAGAGAGGCTCTGCCTTTGAGTTGAAAGCCCAACTCCCTGTAGACTAAGCTGCCAGAGCTCCCCTTGTTTAACTTGCTCCTTTCTAAAACAATATACAATTATTGTTGTTATGTGTTGGCGAGTTGCCTGCGACTCATAGCAACCCTATACAGCTCTGAAGCCTGCCCTATTCTGAGCCAGTCTCACTGACTCCAACACACCTACCCTCATTATTCCAGTTACTATAGCATCCAGTATATATATTATATATCCATTGCATCTGGGGTCTTCCTCTCCTGCACTGTCCCTCCACCTTTCCAATTCGCTTGGTGGAAATTTTTGAGAGGCTTCAGTGCTCCACCTGGGACTGACCCTGTGATATAGGGGACCAGTGGACTCCAGGCCAGGACAGTGGACACTAGCCATTGTCCTGTTGTTGTCAGGTGCTGTCAAGTTGAGTACAGCTCATGGTGACACTAGGAACAACAGATCTGAACCCTGCCCCATTCTGTGCCATCCTCATTGTCGCTGACACACTAGATAGAGCTCAGTGCTGCAGGTTCTGTGTCACTCCTTCTCGATGAGGGTCTTTCTCTCTGTTATCTATCCCCTGCTTCCCAAGCATGATGCCCCTCTCCAAGGAATAGCCTCTCCTAACAACATGCCCAAAGTATGTGAGATGAAGCATTGCCATCTTTGCCTCCAAGGAGATGGAGCACTCTAGCTGTACTTTCTTCAAGACATATCTGTTCTGTTGTCAGTCCATGGGATATTCAGTACTCTTCTCCAACACCACATTTCAAAAGCATCAGTTAATTCTTCTGTCCTCTTATTCAGTATCCATCTCTCAGATGTATAGCAAGGGATAGAAAAGACCATGGCTTCAATCTGGCACACCTTAGTCTTCAGGCTGACATCATTGCTCCTCAGCAATTTGGAGAGATCCTTAATTGTACTTTCCCAATACAATACATCTGGTCTTCTGACTGCTAGTACCAAGAGTAGTGGATCCAAGTAAGATGAGGTCATTGACAACGTCAATTTATTCTCCATCTATCATGACATTACCTTTTGGTCCAGTGGTGAGAATTTTTATTTTCTTGATGTTTAGATGTAATTAATACTGAAAGCTGTTGTCTTTGATCATCTGCCGCAAGAAATTCAAGTCCTTGTCACCTTCAATAAGCAAAGTTAGCTGTGTCAAAATTTCCTTACCAAAATGTCACCTGCATAATGCAGCTTATCAATGAGTCTTTCTACTATCTTGACGCCACATCTTTCTTCAGAGTCTGTTTCCTCAAACAATTTGCTCAGCACACATATTTATAACTATGGAGAGAGGAAACAACCCTATTGCACACCTATCTTAGTTTTAAACCATATGGTAGCCAGGAAATCAAAAGACGAATTGCAGTGGAAAAGTCTGCTGTCAGAGACCTTTCCAGAATGTGCCCGGTTCAGGCCATAGTCTTTACAATTACTTACTATGCATCAGAAAGCTGGACAATGACTAGGGATAATAGAAGAATTGATGCCTTTGAACTGTGGTGCTGGAGAAGAGTATTGAATATACCATGGACTGCTAGGAGAAACTGGTTCATCCTGGAGAGGGTGAGACCAGGCTACTCCTTGGAGACAAGGATTTTGAAGCTCCATCTGACATATTTTGGGCATGTTTCAAGGAGGGACCAGTCCTTGGAGAGAGACATCAAGCTTGGGAAGGTGGAGGGACAGCACAGGAGGGGAAGACCCTTGATGAGATGCATTGACTCAGTGACTGGGGTAATGAAAGTAGGCATGTCAAAGAGAGTAAGGTTGGCTCAGGATAGAGCAGGGTTCAGAGCTCTTGTACATAGGGTCACCATGAGTCACATATGACTCAATGGCACATAACAACAACAAAAGTATTCCCTTTTTCTGTTCTTACAACAGTCTCTTTGTTTGGGTATAAGATTTACATGAGCACAATTAAATATTCTGGGATATCCATGGTTCTCAATATTATCTATAATTTCTTGTGATCCGCACCATCAAATATTTTTGCATAGTCAATATAGCACAATAGACATTCTTCTTTTATTCTCCATGTTCAGTCAGGATCCATCTAACATCAGCAATGAAATTCCTGGTACCATGCCCTTTGCTAAACCAAGCCTAAAGTTCTGGAAGTTCTCTGTCTATGCACTGTTCTAGCCATTTTTGGATGATCTTCAGCAGTATTTTGCTTTTATGTGATACTAATGATATTGTTTGATAATTTCCACATATTGTTGAATCGCCTCTCTTGGGGTGAGACCGATACGAATCTCCTCCAGACATTTAGCCAAGCAGCTTGCCTACAAATTTCCTGGCATAAACAGTCAGTAGGTCCAGAATTGTATCTGTCAGTTGAAATGTGTTAATATGGATTACATCTCAATGTCATGAAAACAAAAATTCTCACCATTGGACAACAGTATGATAGATGGGAAAAAGATTGAAATGGTCAATGACTTTCTACTACTTGGATCTACAATCAACACCTTTAGAACCAAAAATCAGGAAATCAGAAAATGCATTGTATTGGGCAAGTCTGTTCTCAGGGACAGTCTCCAAATTATTGAGGAGCAATGATGTCAGTTTGAGGACTAAGGTGCACCTAATTCAGGCCTTGGTCTTTTCAGTCACTTGCTGTGCGTCTGAGAGCTAGGCAATAAGTAAGGATGACAGAAGAATCGAGGCCTTTGAGCTGTGGTGTTTGAGAAGATTACGGAATATCCCGTGGACTGCCAAAAAAAGCAAACAGGTATGTCTTGGAGAAAGTACAGCCAAAGTGCTTCTTAAAGGCAAAGATGACAGTGCTTTATCTCACATACTTTGTGCATGTTTTTAGGAGGGGCTATTCCTTGGGAGAGAGACATTATGCTTGAAAAAGCGGAGGGACAGAAAAGAAGAGGGAGACCCTCAATTAGAGGGATTGACACAAAATTTATAAGGATGGCACAGGATAGGACAGAGTTCCGATCTGTTGTTTATAGGGTCATAATCTTGACTTCCTTTCCCAGACATGAATGATATATTTAACTGAACCGCTAGAGGGAGTCTATGGGCTAGAACCCACATACTGCTATGAAGAAGTCCATCATTTCTCACTCAATTTAAAACCTAAGAGGCACGAACTGGGGAGGAGGGTGGAGAAAACAGTGCAACAATGAATGAATGAAAACCCAAAATCTCTGTAAATGTTCATTAAAACTAATAAAATTTAATAATAATAAAAAAATAAATAAAACCTAAGAGACTAATTAGGCACTTTTTCTCTCTATATTTAATCATTTTTGAAGGCACTATGCATTGAACTCTGATGGCTTAGTGGTAAGGAATTACACTGCCAATGCAAAGGTACATGGTTCAAATCCACCAGTTGCTCCTTGGAAGAAAGATGAACAATCTCCTCCTGGGAAATTTAATATCTCTGAAAACCCACCAGTCTGTCAACTGTGGGCCACTTCTAACTAAATGGTACACAATAACATGCATCTGTTAAAGTCTTTTCAGAAAATTCATCCCATAGGATCCATTTGAAGAAACTCAAACGAAGCTTTACAAAGTCTGTGCAGAGTTAAGGGAAGATGCATGATGGATACGTATCAAAGACAACAGTGTTGTGACTTTTTGAGAATGGTTTGCTTATCCATTACCTTCACCTTTTATGGAGGCCTGGTCTCCATCTGCTTCAACTGCTGATATATGGCTCATTGATGAATTTCTTCTACATCATCAACAGCTGTGGGGCCAACATAAGAGATGGAGTGCTAGCCAGATTTTGGAGAGACTGTGACAAGGCATCGTCTGATGGAGCCAGAGCCAGATAGATGGCTCGCTTGCTGCATGTTGAAAGGAGAGCTGATTTATCACTTCTATGAGACAAAGCTTGCTGGACAATTGAGGAAACCAGAGACTTTTTGCATTTGTGTTGCTAAACCAAACCTGGGCTTTCACTGTGTGATATCTTTTGTCTTCTCTCCCTTCACCGTCTGTTTCTTAATAAACTGTACAACTCTGTAAAAAAGATTGTATAAAGCCTGTGTGGTCTATTTTCAATGAATATAGGATCTAGTGGTCAGTAGAAGTAGGTAGGTCAGCGCAGAGGATCATGTCTGACCTTATGGGGATCAGTTTTATACTGTGGATGTTCTTGATGGGGACAGTTCCCCTTTGTGGAGTTAGCACAGTTCCAATTCAGTCATCCTCATGCCGTCTTTGCTCTTTTTTACAACTAGCAAGAAATTCTAACATTCCCTTGGGCTAAAGATATGAGAAGAGAAGCTCTGAAGCCCTGGTGACATAGTGGGTGCAGTGTTGCACTGATAAGCCAGGGGTGTTGTTCTCACTGGTAATTGGAATCCACCAGCAGCTCCATAGGAGAAAGATGTGTAATCTCCTCCCTTACAATTTACAACTTCCATAAATATGCAGGAAGATAAGCTATGGGTTGGTTCCAACTCCACAGCAACGACTTCTACATTT